AGCACACAGTGGTTATGACAACTCTCTCTTGAGACACAGACTGCCCGAGTTCAAATCCCAGGAGCCCTGCTTGTGCTTTCTGAACGCGTGATCTGGGGCAGGAGAGTGTACCCCTCGGAGCCTCGGGAAGCTCATCAGCAAGATGGGGAAGACAGCCCCCACCTCACCGGTCCTCGTGGGGCTTAGATGAGGGCGCCTACCACCTGCTTCGTACAGGGGCTGTCGCCCTGTGAGCCCTTGAGGCCTACTGGCTACTACTATAGTCGTATTTTTAGCTGTGAAGGGGTCGGAGGACACGTGTGTGCCTGGAGGCCAGAGGCTGGCCCCCTGGACCCCCGTCTCCCGGCTCCCTGCCTGCTGTCCCCCTCACTCTCTCCAGCACTGAGTGATAGAAAGGCGGGGCTGGTGGCGGCCTGGCAGGCCTGTCCTGGCAGCTGCTCCCACAAGGCGAGGCCCTCTGAGCTTTGGAGAATTAATTAGGCCACATTCCTCTTCCAGGGCTCCTGGGGCGGGCCTGCACACGGCCCCCTTCCGAGCTGCTGAGGGCTCTTGGCTCAGGTCCCTGGCAGGCCTAGGCGAGGCCCACACTCTGCTCTCCCCTGAGAGGGGTTGGAAGGGCCCTGATGAGCTGGAAGCAGTGGCTGGGGAGGCAACGGTGACAAGCCAGCCGCCCAAGGCCGGCTCCTGCCCCGACTCTCCCCTGCTTAGCTACCAGCACTGGTCCCCATCACTCAAGCTCAAATTCCTGGCATTGGATGCCATTCCCAGCCTGGCCCCCGCTGATCAGGCCGGCTGCCTTGCTCCAGATCCTTCCAAGCTCTGGCCAGACATGCCTCACTCCCTTCCCCTAGCAGCGATGCCCTTTCCTCGTTCCAGAGTGTGCAAACCCTGCCCATTCTCCAAACCCTCCCCACTACCAAACCAGCTGGAAGGGCAGTCCGTGACATATCCCTCCTCCTGTCCCATCATTTTGCCTCATCTCTCCTCCCTGCCAACCCGTGAGACCCTTGAGTGGAGCAAGGGTGCTTTGATCCAAAGGCATGAAGCACAAGAGGAGGGCGTTTCAAGCGAGGCAGTATTCTCCTGGGAGACATTGTCTGAGGCTGTGGTGGGGAGTGACGGCTGCTGTAGCTCTCCCTGCTCGGAGCCCTTTCTCCCATGCTGGGGGCTCTGGCCCGATCTGGGGCTCAGGAGGGTGCAGCCCACTCCTGCCTTCCCCTCTCCAGCCTTCCCCAGGGCCCCCTTCTTCTTTTGTTCCCTGAAAGGGGCAGAGAATGGCTCTCGTCCACAACCAGGCTTGGCCTCTGCTGCTCCACCTGCCCAGGACACTCCTGTCTACTCTCTTCCTTCACTTAATTGGCTCCCTTGTGCTCCGCCTCAATGTCACCTCCTTCGGGAAGCCTCCCTGGGTTCTCCCACCCCAGGGGCCCCCATCACCAGGTGGATGTCCTCTTGGAGAGGTGGTAAGGCATCGACGCTTGGAGCTTGAGGTTTAAATCCTGGCTCAGCCACAAACTAAAATGAACCTGCAGTGTAAGTTGCTGCAAAGAACCAAGAAATTCATGTGCATGAAGCACTTCGTGAGTGTGCTCAATAAACGCTAGCTATTACTTTTATCTTAATAGTTAACAGTGGTTTTCGGTTTGGGTGTTTGGTTTTTTATTCTGTTTTGGGGGCTCTGCTCTTGCCCCATGAGGCCAGGAGCTGTGTCTGTCCTGCTCACAAGAGTCTCCGGAGAGCGACCATTCGTGAGCGGTGGCTTCTCTGAACTGTGTGGGGAGGGCCCCCCCAGGACTGAAAGGCCTCACCTGCGGCCCGGCGCTGCGTCGGACGGCCGAGTCCTGGACTCAGGACCACGCTCGCCTCTGCCTTGGCTTCCATCCGTGCACGAACCCGAGTCAATCCGGGTCATTCTGTGCCCCCTTCTGGCCTATCCCTGCCTGGTGTTTCAGCCCGAAGGAACATCAATTTGACTCACAAAGCCTTGACAAAACCAGCTGAGTATTTATGGCAAAGGCAGAAAAAGGCAGGAAAAGGGGAGATTTTGTCCTTCGAACTCTGGACAAGCTTCCCGAAGGGCTGATGTCTTACTTCCCCGGGTTTGCTTTTACTTGTCAGCTGCTCCCCCCACATTTTGCCCCGTTCCTTCTGCACACCGTCCTGCCCTCTGCCCTGTTTCTGGGGCCCCCGCTAGCTGCAGTGTGGTCTCATAGCAGGCACAGACTTGAGGCACACATGGCCCCTTTTGTCCTGTGGATACAGAGGTGACTGAAGAAGGCTAGAGTAGGACCCCCTAAAGTGCAGGGCCCGAGCTGGAGGCCCCCATTCCCCCGGGAATAAGGATCCGAGAGACTGCACCGTCACCTTCCTATACCTGCCTCCTGGGTCTCCCTCCCTTCCCTTTAATCATCTCTGTGACTTAATCATTTGGGTCTCTGATCTCTGAACTCTGGCCAGGGCTACCGGGACCTGTGCCAAGGGCAGTGGATGCCTCCTTCCCTGGGCTTCTGACACACCCTCAACCGATCTCAGTCTCCCTCTCCCAGGCCTCCCTCACACCTGCTTTCCTGGGGTTGCCCTACTCAGCTGCCCAGCCTGGCCACTGGCTATTCATTTGGCATTTTCCAGGGGCAGGGCCATTTGGCATGGGATGCTGGGCTGCCACGGCGTGAGATTGCCCTGGCATGAGACTCTGCTGAGATTTGAGAGGCGTGCCCTGACTCCGGGCCCCCTTCCTCCAACCCTCACCACCCAGGATGCATTGTGGACCGCTGAGGGCCGGGGGTGAACTTGCTTCCCTGTCCACTCTTGCCCTGTGCAGCCCTCTGGTGGTATATTCCCAAAGTCTAGCTCTGATCAGGTCCCCTGTGGCTCATAGCCCTTTTGTGGTCCATAAGACAGGGTCCAGCTTCCTTGCTTTGGCCTCGAGGTCTCTCTGGCATCATCTCCTGCTGCTTTTCCCTCACTATGCTCCAGCCACACGGGTTCTCCATGGGAACCGCCTCTGTCCGGCCTGCTACCATACCTTCACCCTCCCTGTTCCCTCTGTCTGGAATTCCCTCTCTAATCCCTTCCTATTTGAGTCTTACTCATCTTCGGAGGCTGTGGGAGCAGCCCCTTTGTCCAGGAGTCTTATTCTGACCACTCCTCTTTCCCCTAGCCGCCCACCTCAGGTCCATCAGCGAAAGGGCTGTTCTGCTCTTACAGAATCACTTCTGACGGCCCAGCAAGCAGCCTCTGCCTCTTATCAGGCCGAGGGCCGAACCCAGCAGTCTGCTTCATGTTCATACCTGTCCTACAAGCTAGAGACTATTGTTTTCCCATTTTGTAGATTAAAAAAAAAAAAAATGAGGTCCAGAAAGAGATTTATCCCAGGTCATGCTGCAGTGGTGATCCGTGAATTCAACCAAAAATATTTTAGAAATCCATCCGTCCATAGGTACCCTAGACTCTGGGTTCATCCTGACGTCCTCACTCACGGTGTGACCTTGGGCAAGTAAATTGCCTTCTCTGTACATCAATTTCCTCATCATTAAAACAGAGTAATAAAAATTCCTCTGTTATAGGTTATCGAGATGCAGTTAGTATCAGTCAAGTGCAAGTACACAGTAGGATTTCAATATGTGTGGCATGTCATCCTTCCAGGAGGGGGTCAGGGCTGGCTTCATGGACAAGGCAGGATCAGAACAGTGTGTAAATAATTATCTCGCAATAGCCATTCGGGCCACCTGACACTCCCAGCCCAGGCCAGCCGGGAGAAAAGGGAACAGCTTGTCACAGGAGGATTTGGCGGACGTGGAGGCCGTGGGTCCAGGCAGCTGTCAGCGGGGGTGATTCTGACTGCTGGTCAACCCTGGAACTCGGGTGGGCTGCTTCTCCAGCCTCGGCAGGACTGGTCGACCCAGGCCTGGAGCCCTGGGCTTCTGCAGTTGAAGCTCACTTCTTGTTCACTGGCGAGGGCCAAGGCAAGGGGCGAGCGAGGACCAGGCCGTAGCACCATCATAGCATCCATCACCGGCCCCTCGGGCTGCATACAGTCTTGAGATCCATCTGGCTGCAGCCTTTGCTGCACAGATAGACTCTGGGTCTCACGACAGTTCCTGGTGAGGGCTGCTGGAACAGAAGGGGGTCTTGATTCCTTCCAAACATGCTCCTGGGAAAGGCCTGGCAGTCGGTGACTGGCCCGATGGGAACACAGGTCCCAGAATCCTGGATTTCAAAGCTACAAATGGCTGCTCAGGCACATGATAGGCAAGGGCCTGGAGAGGCTGGGTTAGCAGCTACAGGTGACCAGCAAGGGCCCGGGGGAATAGAACCCTGGGCTCTGGCTACTGACCCAGACCCTTTCTCTCTCCTTCCTGTGTCCCCTTAACTTCCGAGCAGCCCCTTCCTGAGAGGGGCCTCCCACCTCTGCTTCAGCCAAGACAAAATATCAGAGTAACACTTCTTCGTTTATTAAAAACACAAGTTCGCAGGTAAATAATAGAGTCTAAAAAAATACATTAAAATAAATAACAGAATCCTCCACATTCTTAGAGGAAATAAGTTATATACAGACAGGTGAAGCTGAGCAGGCCACTCTCACCAGGAGCATCCTGGGGACATGAGGGTGGGAGGACTATGGGGAGGGACTACTGGAGGGGACGGACGGGGCCTGCCTAGGACACCAGCCCTGTCCAGCCTCCAGCGCTGGCTTCCGTCTGAGGGTCCACCACTGCTCGCCGATCCCAGTTTGTAGCCAATAGACAGGAAACCTCTCAGGACGTGGCCTCTGGGTTAGCACGCTCCTTATGTAGTTCCTTCTAGCGGGGCGGTGGGGCTGGGACCAGTGGGGGGAGGCTGCCCTGCAGCCTGGGGGCTGAAGGCTTTCCTGGGCAGGGTGAGGACATGAGCTGCCTTGGGAGAAGCTCCTTCACCCGTGCAAGGAGACCAGAGCTCGTGCCACCTCAGCAGGTTGTGTCCCTGGCCCTGGGCTGCTCCGCTCCTCGAAGCCCCACACAGGCTCCTTCCCAGCATTCCTTGGCGATCTGGCAATCAGTATTATGTTTTCCTCCGCCTGGGATACATGGGCCTCGGCTCCCTCTCTGCCTCCTGGTGTCGTCTGGCAAAGCGGATCTTGGTGGCAGAAATTTCCCTGGAATCGAGAAGGGTCCATTTAGCATCTTGGGAGGTATGGGCTGCCCAAGTGTTCCCCAAGACAGGCAGCAGCGACAGGACCTGACCCCCCTCATCACAGCTGCCCTGGGGTCGGGGGCAGCCATAGCTCATCCTGAAAACAAAATCTGCACATCAGGGACAGGCCAGGTACTAGAATCTCCTCTGCCCACGGGGACTTTGACGAAGCCGATGTTGAATGTCAAAGGCCGTCCGAATGACCGGAGGGCCAAGAACAGCGTGCCTCCTGTGACTTGCCTTCCCGCTTCCATATCGGCGCTCCTGCCATTCCTTCTAGGCTCTTTACCTCCCCTCACCCAAATTCCACGGACTAAAATTCCCGTTCTTCAAGGTCCCGCTCAACGTGGTTCAACCCAGACAAAAATGGGTCTTAGCTGCCCTTTGAACTGGGATGAGCCCCTGGCAGGGGCTCCAGCATCATCCAAGGGGTCTTGTCCTGACTCCAAGGGTTCTAGCCTGGAGCGGGGAGTCTGGCTGCAGTTCCCAGCTATGGGAACTGAGGCAAGCGTGGCAACCTCCCCGAGTTCCTTTCTTAGCCTGTAAAATAAACCCAGGCCTAGCCGGTGTGAGGATGAGAATGGGTTGGCAAAGCAAGCTCTTTGTCCACTACCAGAGGCCGTGCGTTTGCAAAGTCTGATTCTTGATTCTGCTCGTCCTTGGACAGTTCCCTATGCTGGGTCTTCCCTTTCCCTTCCCCATCCCATGCTGTCTCCTAGGTTTCAGCCTCCCCACAAAGATGGGAACCCCCAGGGGGCCACGCTGGGCCCCAGTGCTGGCCAGCTCCATGGAGCCTCAAGGACAAAGGTCTGAATGGTTAACGTCTCCAGAGGTCCCACTGGGTACCTTCCACCTACGTCAACGGATCCGCCCTCACAATGACCCCTAGGGATGGCTTGCCCTGATGTCCCAGGCTCAGAATGGGGACCTGAAGCACAGAGAAGTGAAGCAATAAGCCCAAGGTCACAAAGGCTTGTTTGTGGCACAGCAGGGGTTCAAATAGGCCAGTCCGGGCTCAGAACTGCCCCCTCAGCCCCTCGGCTGCACGGCCAGATGTGGGGGCTCTATTCTCAAGTCAATGTGGTCAGACAAACCTTTGTGCGCACATCCCGTGGGCCAGGCCTTGCGCTGAGCCATGCCAGGGCTGCCAGGAAGGGGATCTGGTTTGGGACAGGGAGGAGGGGACAGGCTAGATCGCCGAGCATTCTGGACCCAGCACACAGGAGACACTCACCACCTGAATGAACACCCGACTCCTTCCTTCCACCATCACAGTCTCTCCGCCCCCCTAAGAAAGTCAACCTCCAGGCCTGGTGGGGACAGAGAGCAGAGCAGCTAAGACCCCTGGCTCTGGAGCCAGCCAGATGCCTGTCATGGACGGCTGGGATGTTGGGCAAGTGCCTTCACTTCTCTGAGCCTCAGTTCCCTTGGCTGCCCAGTAAGGACCCAGTCCCGCCTTCTTGGAGAACGAAGGTAACGTGCAAGGCATACAGGAGGTGCTCTGCCCATGCAGGCATCCCTTACCTCAGCTGCTGGAGGAGCTCTCCTGTGGACGTCCATCTCTGGCCGGCCTGGAACACGTTGGCAGGGGACCTGCTGCCTGGGACTACCACAGCTTCGGCCCTGAATGAACAGCATTAGGACCCAAGTGAGGGGCTGTCCAGGGCCCTGAGAACACCTGGCTGTGGGCCCAGTGCCCCCCCACTCTCACCCCAAACAGATCCGTTTCCACCTCTGTGCACCTGGCATCCTTCCTTTCCCAGGCGGGGTGGGGGCCGAGGAAAACTGAGCTGCCGGGAATGTGTTCTTAGCCTCAGAAAGAGGCAGCTGGGGGCCTGGCCTTCCCAGAATCCAACCACCTGCAGCTGAGCACAGTTCTTTTCGAGGGGAAACTGAGGCAGGGGTGGGGCCACAGCCTAAGTCTCAGAGGAGGAGTTTCTCATAAATCATCATAGGAAGGGCAGGTTTGGGACTGGGAAGCCAGTCTCTGCTTTCCCCAAATCCTCCAGGTGCACAAGCAAAGGAACACAGTCTCCACTCCTTTTACACATGGGGAAACTGAGGCCCAGAGAGTTAAGAGACTTGGCAGAGCACCCCACCCACCGCCCTCCAACCCCCAGCATCTCTGTGACAACCCTGGGGTAGTGCCTCGGTCTCCCAAGTCTAGTTGCTACTTCTCCACCAAGAAAGCTCCAGAGCGCTCCATGCTGCAGCTCAGAAGCCAAAGCCCAGTGCCCCTGGGCAGACAGACGGAGGCTGCAGGCCCCGCTCTCCTTTGACAGGACAAGTCCTATCCCCTCTGTGCCCGAGCAGCTTCTGTTGTCACTTGGGGAGTGTCCCTTCTGCCCAGGAGTGAGGGCGGGGTGCTCTCAGAAGCCCCCAGTGCTGGGCAGTGGGAGGGACTTGGGGTGACTGGCTCCCCACAGAAAGGGGGGCAGCCTATGGGCTCCCAAGACCCTGCTCCCCCACCAGTAGCCACTCTGCTTCTCTGCCGGTCTTCCAGATGCCCTGCTCCCCCGGCCCCTGCAGGTGAGCTGCCAGCTTACCAGGGCCTTTGATGGCAGAAGGTGGCACAGGCGGGGTCCCTGCCACTGGAGCACTCACAGCGCTTCGGCAGGGAGCGGCGCCGGCGTCTTGGCGGGTTTCCCAGGCCGTAAGGAGCTGTCTGTCTGTAGGCAGGCAGCCAGCAAGGTAGTGGTGTAGGGTGGAGAGAGCAGAGGGGAGGGGGAGAGAGGCAGAGGATTAGATAAACTCCGACCACTGGCAAGCAGAGAGTGTCCACAGCACACACAGGGATGGCCACCCATGCCCCCGGGATGGAAAAACGTTACCAGCCCCTGACCTCAAGAAGGCCCAGCGCAGGCCCCTCCCTGGCTGCCAGGTGGTCCAGGAAAAGGTCTCTCCCCTTTCTGGGCCTCTGCTTGCTCCCACACCCCTGGCCCCACTCAGTAAGCCTCCCAGCACTGAGAGGAGGCACCGGAACAGTGCTCCCTCCCTAAGTCGGGAAGTGGGGAGTCCTCCCCGCCCCTCCCAGACAGCAACTTGAGCTGATGGAGAGGGCCAGGCTGGTCCCCGTGGAGGAGGGGAGGAAATGCCATCTCACAGAAGTAAACATACAGGCTCTCAGCTAAGCTGCCCTCACCTGGTCATCCCTTGCCCGGAGGGCGATAAACGTGGCTTAGAGCGCGCTGACTTAGAAAAAGTGTGTGCATGTGTGTGTGTGTGTGTGTGTGTGTGTGTGTGTGAGATCAGGTGGGATTGATTTCAGATTCAAAGTCTGGCCAAGGCAGGCTGTGGGCAGGGCAGGGGCCCTGTGGCCGGTTGGACCAGCACCTTCGGGTGCCAGAGCTAATTTTAGACAATGTGGTTGAAGTTGTAATGACTCCCAGGTAGACCCAGCACGCAGGGACTGGCAGCGTTCCCGCCCTGAGCGAGTGTTTGGATGCGGATTATCTCCACACGCTTACGTGCGGAGCTTCTCTTGCCTTTTGCAATTTGGGGAAGGAAAAAAAAAAACCACAAACACCCAGAGAAACTTCAGCTCGAAGTATGCAGTGGCCCGGAGGCTGTGCGGGTGCAGACAGAGCAGACAGCCCTGGGCTCCCACCCCAGCTCTGCCAGGTGACACAGCCCAGGCTTCTCGTCTTGTCACTGCAGACGGCAGCAGCGCCTGCGTCGTGGGGAGGACGAGGGGTTCGCGGGCTGATAACAGACGAGCCGTGCTTGGCACAGAGCCTGGCACCGTCAAGGCATGGGTGCTGTCATTCAGCGTCTTATTCTTGGAAGATCATGCCGAGGCCGCATGGCAGAGTGGGCGTGAGCTTCGGCAGCTGCGGCCTAGGAGGGAGCCTCCACCTACTGCTTACTCCTTCCTGTGCAATCCTGGGGCAGGCACCCAACCTCTCTGAGCCTCAGTGCCCTGATCTGGAAAACGGGGCCAATACCAGGCTGTTGCAAGAACTCTCCCTAGGTAGCCCTGCGTGATGGGGCAGCCCCCACATGGAAGTTGGAAAAATAACCAGTAATTCTCCCTAATAGCACAGTGACCCTGTCTGGAGGCCCGGGGAGAGCTGGACTCTGCGGGACATTCCCCATCCCCTGCCCTGCTGCCAGCAGCCCCGCCTGGATCCCCGCGCTCACCCGGGGGTGTTGACCCAGATGATGTCCAGGTGGCAGAAGTAGACGCATTCCTTGTCCAGCCAGGAGCTGCAGGAGCAACGTCGAGGCCGCAGGTGGGAGCCGCGGGCCCGGGGCGAGGGCGAGGGGTGATCCGGAGCAGCAGCCACCTGGCCCTTGCCTGGGTGTCCAAGGAGAGAGAGAGAAAGAGGCAGAGAGGTGGGTCAGGGCGCCTGGCACAGCTGGGATAGGGGACCTGCTGGGCTCCTCCTCTTGCATAATCGAGGAAGTTGGCTTTCTTATTGCTCAGGAGCTCCAGGCCAGCCTGGGGGAAGCCCCAGCAATGCTGAGTGAGAAGGGCCAGTGCTGTCCGGTGCCTTGCAGCAGCTCTGTCCTTGCTAAGCTCCCCGGAGCTGCCGCGGCTGCAGGACTCCCACCCCTGAGGGCCCCCAGCTGACTGGCGAGTACTGGGAACCGGGGAGGGAGACACCTGCAAGCAGCCCCGGAGGGGGTGGGGCGGCTGCTCTAGCAGGTGAGGCTGGGGCGGCTCACCTTCCTGCAGAGCCAGGAGCAGGGCCAGAGCAACAGAGCACCAGGCAGTGGGCACGGCGACCATAGCGGTGGTGGAGCGCACGGGCTGGATGAGAGGACGGAGTGTGCCTGTCGCCAGCGTCTTGCTGCCAAGCCGAGCTGATAGCTCATTGCCTCAGTGCCCTGGTGGCTTCTTATAACACCAGGCATGGCCCCGCCCCTGCCCATCCAGCCCTGCCCCATTGTATGTACAGGAGAGCGATGACACCGCCTCCACCCCGGGGTGCACGCCTTGGCTGGCCTCCCTGGTGTGGGGTGGGGGAGGAGGGCAGGGGAGGGTGGAGGCGGGAGGGAAGGCCCCGCTCTCCTCCTTCTGTGCCTGGAGCACCTCCTGGAGTACGGCAGCTCTCCTGCCATCCCTAGGGACCCCTCCCAGTTCTGCTGGGCTGCCTCAAGTCACCCCCAATGTGCCTGACCCCCTTCTTCGTTCTCTGTGTGGCTGCTCCAGGGCTCTTGCTGAGTCAGGAGTGGGAAGGGGGAGATCCATGAACAAAACCCTGCTTCTCCTTGGGGGAGACCCTGCCATCCTGCCTGCCCACTGCCACCCAGGCTGAGGACACCCCTTCTGTTGTGTGGGAGGGGAAAGGGGGTGTTCAAGGCTGTGTGGCCTTGGGCAAATCAGAGCCCTCTCTGGGCTGGCTTCCCTCAGTGAAGGACGCAGCTCACCCCTGACCTCTGCCCCGCTGGGAGCTGCCTCATGCCTACCTCACCCAGGAAGTGCCCCCTCCCTTCCTTCCCCATCCCTCCTCCCAGGGCCTGGGGGCAGGCGTTCTGGTCCCTTCAAACCCTATTGCCCCTATGGGCATACACACAAAGCACCCAGTGAAAGACCTCCCGCCTTGGACACGACAGGGCGGTTGGCTCACCTCTGTGGCTACTCTCTTCCAAAAAGACAAGGCAGGGGTGTGGGGGGGGGCGCACCCCAGGGGCTAGCATTCTGCTCCTGCCTCTCCGCTAGCCTAGAACCTGGGCCTGGCTGGCGACAGAGTGTGGATGCCCTGGTGCTGAGCTAAGCAGCTTGCGGGACCAGCACTCGCCCTCTGTTCCTGCCCAGGCCTGGCTCAGAGTCCAGGTGCTGCGACGTCTTTCAGGGACCCTGTCTCCAAGTATAACAGGAAAAGCCCTCTCATTTCTCGGAACTCCCAGAGCCTTGCTCTCCTGCCTGCCTGACTCATGACTCCAGGCTTATCTCCCCAGCAATCTCGAGGTCCAGAGCTCTGGAGAAGGCAAGGCCCGGAGCCGGCCGTGCACACAGTAGGAGCCTTGAGAGAGTGCTGTCTGAGGGAGGAAGGAAGGCAGAAAAACACGCCTGGCTTCGAACTGTGGAAACCAGGTCCCTGGGAACCCAGGCTGCTCAACCCGCAGTTTGTGTGTTTAGCAGCAATTCTGCCATCAGACGCTTAGGAAGGGGACCACGGGTGACCAAAGAGAAACCGGCGGGCTTGCTTCCTCCTAGGCCGTGACTAGAACGTACCTTGTGCGAGCCACAGAGGGATACAGAGAGAGAGAATCGCCAGCGTGATCTCCCTTCCCCCAGTGTCGGTCAGGCTGCAGGGGAAGCAGGAACCAACCTTTCTGAGTACCTACTGTGCGCTCGGAGCATTTTTCAGCTCCTCTCTGCCCTTGCCCCAGGAGGCAGCTCTTAGGATCTGGGGATCAGCTCCACTAGGGCCCAGGAGACCCAGAGAGGGGCCTGGCTTGGCCAAGGTCACGCAGCTGGTGGATCTGCAGAACTGGCACCGGGACTGGGATTTTAGTCCCTTCAGCAAAAACCAGAGACTCCCCATGCAGTGCTCACTGCCCTCCCCCGCCAAGGTGTCTCTCTAAGAATTTAGAAGAGTTATTTCTGGAATGAGGTGAGCAATACTCCTAGTCATTTCTATTAGTCTCCTGGAGAATATAAATACAGAATTAAGCAGGGTCAGGGTGGGGGAGGAGGCGGATAGAGAATTCAAACCACTGAACCATGAAGAGAAGAATGAAGAACGAGCAGGTCAGCAGGGAGCAGGAGGGGGTCCGGGTGGGGAGGAAAACAAACGGGGAGGCAGATAAAGACAGGCAGGGAGAGAGGGAGGACAAGGAAGCAGAGCCTAGGGTGAGAGAAAGAACTCGGATTTGAGAAAGTAAAAGAGAAAGACCATTTGGAAGGAGAGCGAGGGTTCTACCGCGTCTAATCTTTACACAAATGCACAGCACTGCTCAGGACAATAGGGAATCAGAGGCTCCGAGTCTGGGAAACATAATAGGAGAATTAAACAGACCAGGAGACAGGATCCCTCTGTGGTGTGAAAAAAAGGATGACGACAGGGCAGGGGCCGCTGCCCGGGCCGGGCAGGGTCGGTGAGGGGAGCTGCGCCCGGCTCCAGTTCCCCTCCTTCCCCGAGCACGGCAAAGAGGGCTCCCATGAAATGGAGAGGCCTGGCCCCTGGAACCTGAGCGAGCCCAGGTCCGAGGGGGTGAAAGCCTTCCCGGAACAGGGCCACTCCACCGGCAAGAGCTGGTTTCCAGGTAGGGAAAATTAAGCTGAGTTAAAAATAGTCAGCCCAAGCCCCATAGCTCTCCAGCCTGGCCCTGACAGTCACCCCATGCCCATCCTGGCTGGCCTGGCTGCATGGCACCCCAGCCCCATAGCTCGGGCTCCCACCGACGACCCCGGCCGTCTGCCCACTGCTCTGCCTCATCCCCGTTTCCTGCCTGGGCTGCTAAAGGCTGCGGGTCAAGGGACGGGGATTCAGCCAAGGGTCCCCTGGCGGGATCTGGAAGGCATCATTCTGCACACAAAATAATTTGCCCCGCTTAGGCTTGGCCCCGGCCCAATCCAAGGAGAGATTTGTGAGGAGGGCAGGTAGGCAGAAGAGAGAAGTCGAGGCATATTTCTGGGTGACACACGGTGCCCGAAACTGCCCTCTAGAAATTCTCTCCAGTCTCCACTCCCACTTGCTGGATGGGATAACGGAAGCCCAAGAGGAGAGGCAACTTGCTCAAGACAGTGATGGGGCCCAGACATGTTCTCTTGGCTACTGATCCAACCCCACACTTTCCAGCACAGCCGCGAAGCTGTCAGGGGTCCAAGGACAGCCCCAGGGTCTGTTTGGGAAGGGCTGCCAGGAAGGACCCACTGGCAGGAAGGCCAGAGCAGAACAAGGAGAGGGGACAAGGGAGAATAAGCCCTGGAGGAAACAGGGCTAGGTCATCTGGGGCTAGGGACATCTGGGACACCTGGGACAGGGCTAGGTCATCTTCCCTTGACCCCCAAAGCTCTCACCCTCCCCTCTGCACTGAGAGTAAGTCTCTTGGGCTGTCCAGCAGCTGAAGCCACTTGGTGGGATTGAGGACACCCAGGAAGGAGGATGAAATGTCTGGTGGTGGGGACTAGAGCCTGGTTTGGTTGTAGAACCAGCAAGCATTGTCCCACCTCTGCAATTCATTCTGTGTGGCCTTGGACAAGTCCTGCCCCTTCCCTGGCTTCCCTGAAGTGTTTCTTTTTTCCCACTGACCGAGAGGGGTGCTCTCAGCTCTGAAAGCCTGCGGCACTCAGAACTAACCTGACCCAAGTTCAGAGCTCACCAGACAGCCCCGCAAGCTCTTGCTCGCCGCCTGGGACCCTCTGCACTCTCCCTTCTGGAAAACCAGTGGCTTCCCTGTTCCCGCCACCCTGGTCCCACTAGGTTTCAGGAAGTTCTGTTTGCAGCCCCAGCGGAAGGGACACAGCGTCTTGGCTGTAAGCACATACCGTGTAGGCGGCTTAGCAGAGCGAGTAGCTGGGAAGATGGGGCTGGCCGGGGGGTGATGTCTGGAGTCTGCAGGGGACGAGGGCTTGGGGAAGGTTTGGCCCTGGAGCCTGCCTGGCTCGGGCATTTAAGGACTGAGGAGGTTCAGACATTCCCATCATTATTTGTCCCCAAGGCTGCAGGTCAGGGCTGCCCCCATTCAGGCCTGGGGCCACTCAGCCTCAGGGCCTCTTTCTGGCGGGTGGTCTGGGCCTCCTGCCCTCAGCCAGAGCTCACCCTGAGACAGCGGGGCCTGCCACCACCCACACCACCGTCCCCACACTGCGTCTCCGCAAAGGCCGTCTCGGCCCCGTGGGACCAGCTCCCCTGGTGTCCACGGCTTCCCTGGAGGACAACCCTTGCCAGATCTCCCCCTCCCTCTACCTCTGCCCATTTGGAGAGATCTCTATCTCCCATATAAACTGTACTTGTAAAGGAATAATTCATGGGCCCTGTTTGTTATTAATCTAGGGGTGATCAGGTCAGGGTCAGCGAGGCCCACGGAACTGCTGGCATTTCAGCCGAAAGTAGATATTGTTCAGTCAACGCACCCTCGTCAAGAGGCCATGTGGCTCCTGCTGGACTTTCCAAAATAAGGAAACCAGCTTAGGGACTCGGCATCCAGGATGAACATCTCTGCGCTCTGAATTTTCAAGTTCCCTCCAAAGTGCTAAGGGCCCAATTCCCCATACGGCCTTTCAGGGCTGTGGGGTAAACACACGGCTACAGAGTGTTTTCCATACTCCAAGCATTCTGCTACCTAATTCACACACCTTATCCCCATCGGTGGACATCATACACCCAAGAGGTAGGTACTGTCATTACACCCTACTTTATAAATGAGGAACCAGAGGCTCACGACTTGCCCAATGTCAGACAGCTAGCAGGTGGCAGAGCCAAGGTTAGGAAGTGGATCAGCTTAAGGTCAAAGCCCTAACCCTGAACTCAGTGCGCCCTCAATGTGCTTTCCTGGCTCTGCAGCCCACGGGGGCCTCACCTGCAGCAACTTTCCTCCAGGGCTAGTTCTCCCTTGTAAGGCAGAGAACCCTAGGCTGACTGGGAGAGTGGGGACCCCCAAAGCGGAAGCAGCCTCCCACCCGTGTCCATGGAGGCCCTCACCCCATAGTAAAAACACACCACAGAGCCCATGCCTACAAGGTCATTCTCTGAGGCCTTGTCACAGCTGTTAGGTAGATACAGACAGTCCATTCTTATCGCACAGGATACCCACAATAGACCTGGGAGGCAGGCTCAG